CCAGGTGGGGCCTAATATGAAATCTACATATGAGAAAGGGATCAGTATTCCAATATTTATAGCAGCACAGACTATAATAGCAAAGACATGGAAATAACCCAGATGCCCAAAGAGGAGTGTTAAAGAATCTGTGGTACATCTACTCCGTGGAATACTACTCAGCCATTAAAATGAATGGAATTATTCAATTGGTAACCAAATGGACCCAGCTAGAGACCATTATGTTCAGTGAACTAAGTCAATCGCAAAAGTACAAATACCATATGTTCTCTCTGATACAAAGTAACCTTATTGCAGGTTATTATAAAATCAATAACCCTTTCAATACTGTTTTTGCTGCGGCCCATGGGTTTTGATATTGTGCTTATTTTCATTTCTTCAAAATAGTTTTTCTATTACTAAATTCTTTACTGACTCCTGAAAAAAATTAAAAATCACTCTGAAAAAATATCTTGGCACCTCCCCTCTGACTGACTCTCAGGAGTTAATTTTCACAACCTGACTTCTTATTTTCTTAAAATCTTAGGTGGAAGTAAAATACCTGCAAGGATAAGGAGTGTACATAGTGCTAGTCTTCCTTTAAAAATGGAGGCAAGTCCACGTACTGCCTTTGGAGGGATGGTACTCCACGGTTTGCAAATTGCTGTTTTCTTTGGAGGGATTACTCAATATTAAAAAAAAACTGGATTTGGAAGATTGCCCTTGCCTGATTCCGTTCCAGCTTTGCTAGGTTTTACTAGTACACAGTCAACATTTGCTTTACTGTCCTGTTCACTGGAGTTGCCAAATATTTCCCCATAAAAACCCCAGACCACCTGGAAGGAGGAGGAGGAGTGAGGTGAGATGGCACTGTTCTGCCCGGGGTGAAAGCTTTCAGTCGTTTTCAATAAGCCACTTGCTTATGTACAAATAGATAAATTAGCTTGCTAAGTTTTCCATACTTCAAAAGAAAATTTGACATTTAAAAAGATGCAGAGAATCCTTTTAAATAGCGCTTGATTGCCAACAACAGAATATTTACAAAGGGGAGGGAAAAAAGCAAAAGATGAGTTGTATTAAGTATTAATCAGAAACCGGGAATTCATTAAAGGCAAGTATGAAATTAACTAAAAGCAGGAATCACGCCCATACACAATATCCAGACTATCTCATCTAACATGAAAGGCACAAGTACCATCCAAGATCTTTTGTTTCCTCGTGCGACAGGGTTACATTTTCCTTCCCAGACATACGTGGTTTCAGCTGGTGTCATAATTCAGGGGTCCTGCCTGAACACGGCTGAGCAATATGGGGTACCAAGTGTCCTGTGACTTTCCTGATGTCACAACATGGAAGACTGGCCCTGGCACCTTGATCATTTAGTTTCTTAGGAAAATCCTCCCTCTTGTGAAAATGGAAAGTTAGCAGTGTTCACATCTAAAGGAAACTAGGTTGCTGGAAGGGCGATTTTTCTTTTCTGTCTAGAGCATTCAGTTGTTGGGGGAACACATAAAACTTTGCAAGCTTTTAATGTCTGATTAGGATAACTTGAACAGTTAGGGGGAAAAAATGATAGAGAGGAGACTACCTGAGATACATGAGGTTTTTAATGTTTTATGTTTCTAATCCATGGATAATGACTGTGTTGGAAACAGGTGCTAAAAGAATCAGGACTGAATCCCATTATAATTTGTTCAGGTGTAGATTTGTCCCTGTTGGTAATGGGACCACATTAAACAGCTCCAAATGCTTCCAGAATGCTGTGCTTACATAATTGGTACTGATGGAGAAAATGATGACTACTTGCTATTTTTTTTTTCCTTGCACTCAGAACTAGCTGCCTTTACAATGATCCAGAAATGTCTTCTATGGAGAAGGAGTAAGACTTCACCATTCCTGACTACTATGTGGTTTTTCTTATATTTGTTGTATGAAGGAAAGAGACTAATTAAAGATTGGGTAAAGCCTGTTGAGATGTGCAGCTTTCCTATGCTCTGTTTCCCTGAAAGAGACATTGTCTAGACTAACGTCATCTTGTTCATGATCACCTCTCAGGGCACTCCAAATCTTTACACAGCATTCCATTTTCCCAATCCCAGAACAAGGGGCAAGTGATTATTTGTGCCAGATGCAAAAACATTTGGATGAGAAAAATACAAACCTGCCTGGTGTATGACATCATTTTAATTAGTGAAAATTTGAACTTCCAAATTTTGGTGATTGGGGGGAGAAAAATGTCCTTGGTTTTAAAAATCCAGGAGGCAGTGTAATATGGATGAGATCTCATGGGTGATCTGCTCTGATGATTCCCAACCTGTGAGAAATGAAAATCTGACATGTATTGGCTTCTTCCCATACACCAGACTCTGTTGAAAGCTTCACTCAAAGTGTCTGGTTTTAATCCTTATAATAAGCTCATGTTGTATGTTTTTTAGAGGAGGAAAGAGAGCCATAAAGAATTTGTCTGGCAAGATCAACATTTTGTTGTGTAAACATGGCCCTGTGCTGGGATTTGAAAATTGGCAGTGCCATTCTAGAGCCAATTACTACTGTTTTTCATCTGAGAGGCAGAAAGAGGGAGAGCAAGAGCTCCCAGCTGCCGCAGCTGGCAGGAGGTAACAGGAATCCAATTATTCGAATCGTTAGGTAGTGTAGACTGTAGGCTTCCCAGGGTCTGAGTTTGCAGGAGCCTGGAGTTTGGGGCCAGAGCCAGCATTGCATTCAGTCTGTTACACTTGGACACTGAGCACCTACTCCAAGTCGTTGGCTCAGTGCTGGAATGGGTGTGCCACCACCAACGTAATTAAGGGTAAACATTACTTACCTCAGAGAACAGTTTACTCTTGGACAAGTCAGTTGCAGGGAGTAAACAGTGTTCACCAACACTCTCTCTGAGACAGCTTGACCATTCAACTCCTGACTGTTAATTTGGTTTGAGTTGTGGGACATTTATATTATCTGCGCTCCCAGGAAGCAGAGGCAACGATTAAAGTTAACTGGGTGTCTTTTGTAACTTTTTGTTCTTTTTGCCTCTCCCTCCGTTTGCTGGGAATCCAAAAGTAATTAGAAAAAAAAAAAATCGCTCTGCACTAGCTCTGTGGTTGCCGTGGTGACCTTATAGTATAAAAGAAATTTAGGTTAGGCAGAAAACTCCAGAGAGAAAGTTCCAGCTGAAAAGTACACAAAGCCCGGAAGGATGTTCTGGTCCCACCTCTTGGAGATGAGGACAGTCGCTTCACAAAGTTGCCACAGGATGGATACTCTGCAAAGTGAAAACACTTCAGTCTGAGCTGCGATTACGGTTTTCCTCTCTCCCCAAAACAGCGCCCCCTGGAGCAGTTCTCGGGCGTGCAGTTTACTCACTGTGTGGATGGATGGCTTGAAAAGCCTTCTCACTCGCCTAACCACAGCTGCTGCATCTCCGGGCTTACCCACTCCTTTGCCTGCCTTGCGTATTGTGCTCCTCCTTCAAGCAGAGAGCTGTCTGGGCTGATGGGGGCAATCTTGTTTGGGTTTATTCCAGAATGAGGTGTGGGAGGTAGGGAGGCTGCCACAGTGTTTGGAAGAGTGCCTCCTTGGCCAGACTTGCCTGTCCTAGGCCCTGCCCAGGCCCACGACCACAGCGCCTGGGACAAGATCTAGGACGCAGGCCAGAGTGGCCGAGCGTCCACTCGAGCAACTTCCAGTCCCAGCTCTCCAGCTTCCTTTACTAGAAGGAGAGATTCTAGTTGGTATTAGAAGGGGGATTTGTTTGTTTTGCTTATTTATTCAGGCAATCCTAGGGACCAATGAAGAGCTCTGATAGAAGCATTTTACACCTTCTGGAGCTGGTGTTGAGTGAGCAAGCTATAAAACAGATGATGGCTCTCCTTTAAGGAGCCTGATCAGGCCAAGAGGAAAAAAAAAAAAATATATATATATATATTTATATATATTTTCATATATATATGCTGATCCTGTCGAGGAACAGAGGAGGGAAGAACATGCTTGTCCTACTTCCTAAGCACATGCAAATGTTTTCATTTATTGATACAGTTTTATAGATATAGGAATTCTTCCTTCCCTTCCTCTTTCCCCATCTCCCACTCCCCACTGGTTTCCCCCATATTATTGCCACTATCCCACACTTTGTAAGGAATCTCACCTAACCACATCAGAAGTAAAAATGGCTAGTGGCAAAGCCATCAGCAGACTGCTCTGTCTGACTTCAATGTTGCTAAGAAACCAAGCCCAGTTGCCCCCAGTGAAGAATCAGTCTCTTATATTCAATTCTCATTAAACATTTTACACTGTGATGCAGGAGGAAGGTGTGGCAGACTACAGCTTAACCCACTGTACCAGACCACCAATCCGAGACGTGTCATTCAATTCCATACTCTACACACTTTCTAAAATACCTTTAGATTGGGGAAATCCCTGGATTACTTAAAAAATTAGCTCTTTTTAGTTTTAAAGAACCATCTCATTAAGGTAAGATAGCCCCTCTCAGTCAGATCCTTTAGATGCTACAAAATATTGGGGATTTTTTTTTTTTTGCTGCATTTTATTTTATTACTTACTGCCTCTTATCAGGCTGGGCAGCTCACTTACACACACATACAAGATAATTTTCCTACAAGAGGACAGATCTCTTATCTCCACTGTGTACTAAGGCTCCTCTTTATGATTGACTTTAGGAATGAGCCTGCCCACAGTCTTGTCTTTCTTGGATCCATTTGAAAAGGTGTAAAATGCTTCCAGAAATAATTTTGTGAAAGCAGACAATCTGAATTGTAGAGAAAAGTTGGGCAACCATGGGAGAAGTGTGTAGTATTAAAAAAGAAAGAAAGAAAGAAAGAAAGAAAGAAAGAAAGAAAGAAAGAAAGAAAGAAAGAAAGAAAGAAAGAAAGAAAGAAAGAAAGAAAGAAAGAAAAAACCACATGTGCATGGTTCATCATCTTCCATAAGGATTTTAAGGGAAAACAACAAATTTGTATCCTGCATTCCTGAATACTTCTTTTTTTCTTTTCCTCCCTTCACAGCATTGACCTGAAGCTCAAAGAGAAGCCATAGTTGGTCACAGCTGGAAGAAGATGATGCTTTTGTGCTGCGTGGTTCTGCAGAAACCTGTCTACCTGGGAGAGAGGGCTGATACTACTTTTTTTTCACTTTGCACTACGTGGTGCCATTCTAAATGTCTAAGGGCGGAAACAGGAGGAGAATTGTTTACTCTTCACATAGTTTCTAAAATTGTGTGTATTTTCCTGTTTTGCCAATTACGTGCCTCAAAGATTTCAGTTGAACCTTAGCAAGAAAGTAGTATCTTCCATTTTGATGTTTTGCCAATTCTTGGTGCAGTGGTCTTCGGTCTCTTACACTGGTGTTTAAAATAGCTTTAACCCTCGGTTAGTTGTGAGTTGACTTGTTTCCATGGATTAGCTGGACTTCTCTTTGGTGATCATTCTAGGATTACAGAACATGGGGCTCAACCCTCCCCAGTCAAGTTTGCCCCAAGTAACTCTGCCTTTAAAATGCTAAGCCTCCCAGCACGGCCATAACCCGGACATGAATGTGAGGCTGTCATTCACCAAATGACCACGTGGTTCTCGTGCACATGGGTATTCTTCAACTTCTTAAGGGAAATCTTCCCAATTTGATCAGTTCTGTTTTAGTTACCAAATCGGGCATCATATTTTATGTAAATTGCTCTTTTAGAAAATCGTTCCTGCTTTGACGAATGTTGAAGACCTTTACATTGGGAAATTTAGGGATCCGTATTACATTTTTAATAGCTTCAGGTTCTAAATTTAGTTCAAGATGTGCTACACTTAAGCACCAAGGATTCAAGTGTAAGGTAACCTAATCAGAGCTTACATTCCAATTTCTCTCCTGCATGCATTATGAAAGTGATCTGATCACAGGTTTAAAATTAAGCATATATTGTTATTTTTCAAACATTTCCTTTATGGTCATCCCAAGCTCTCTGAAACACAGCATGGTTTTAAGTCTGTGAGTCCCAAATCTGAGATGTTACCTGTTGGAGTGGGATCTTGCAGGCTAAGAATGATTTTTATATTTCTGGTTGGAAAAAAATTTAACACTTCATGCTACATGGGAATTACTGCAATTTAAGTCTCCGTAAATAAAGGTGTTGCTGAAACACAGTTAAATAAGTATGTTTTTGGACCATGCATAGCTACTTCCACACCACAGTGGCAGAAACTGAGCAGTTGCAGAAGATAAGACTCAGAGAGCTTCAAATATCTGCTACAGCAAGAGTTTCCTAACCTGTGTTCTATCAAATACATCCCTTCTTATTCCCCACCTTTCCCTTTTATAGTTGGATAATATCTCTAACAGAATGGACAAATGAGGCTGCAAACTTTAATGTTCATCATAAGTAAAGTTTTGACACTCAGAAACAGTGAAGTGAAAGGCCTGGCATACTGACAAGGTCAAAGACTAACGGCCACAGAGCAAGGATCAGGTTGTAATGAGAAACCCCAAAGCATCTGTGCAGTCACACACAGATGTTGCTAAGATCCTCACATTACTGTGGGAACCAGTCCCCATGGAACAACCTGAATTACCTGTTCAATAATCTGGAAAACATAAATACAAAGCAGAGAGAGGACTTCCTCCAGAGTCTCATGGTGGCAACTTCTCAGTGTATTTTTCAGATACACTGGGTCCCGGGATAGAATGAACCCTGAAGTATTTTGAAGGGGACATCTCTGTATAGGTGGCTGGGATTCTCTGACCTCATTTGCTTTTTGTTCATCCCCTTCCCCAAACACACACACACCATCCACACATGGCCTTGTCATACAGGTGCATGAGCTGTGTGTCCTCCATGGCCTTTATGTCCCCTCTCCCGATCCCTTTCAGCTTAGTAACTCTTTGAACTTTGTGCTATTTTTGGACCTCTTTCCTCAAAAGCATCTGGCTCATCCTATAGTAATTGCTACAGGCCATCGCCTCACCTACCTGCCACGTCTCCTTTTGGAAACCCGTTATGTCTGCCTCTCCAAGCCATGCTGAACCTGTGAGGACCTGAGGAATTTAACGATGAGTTTAGAGGGCTGATCTGAGAATGCAGAACTGCTGATAACTGGCTCACGGTAGAGCCAATCAGGAGTGGCAACAATCTCACCACTCACATTTTCTCTGACCTTGTCTGGCCTGGTTATGGAAGGCTGTGAGGGCACATGCTATGGGGAACTTAATTTTCTTACACAGAAAATTATGAACATCTGTCCCAATCCATGATTTTCTTGGAACTGTTCTATACACTGCATAACCATGCTGATATTTAGACATTTTATATCTTAAAAATACAAATTAATTGCATGTGCTAGAGAAAAGGCTATCGTGTAAGTTCAATCCAGGTAAGTAGAATCCTAGACAAATCCTGGAAACACAATCCCTAAACAAATAGATAGACAGATGTAAGCATTCGTGCCATCTAGTTCTTGCACCTGCAGCATTCTTGCTTTGGTTCTGACTTCTCAAAACTGCTTTGCACTTTTCCTATAAACTCATAGTTAAAGGAACCAAGGAGTTCATGGGGCAAAGTCGTTCTTTTCTTAAGGTGGTAAAACGAAAACCTGCACAGTTCTCCTGAGGGTAAAAGGTGGGTGTGGAAGAGAACCTTGAAGTTCCTGATGAAGCCATAAAAGTCTTCTAGGGTTACCCTACAAGACATTCTCTGACGTAGAAGCAAGTTACTACGCCTAGTCTTTGTCGCCAGATATAATTTTGGGTACTCAGTTATGGAACTTTGTTTGCAACCTTCTGCTTATCCTGATGCCTCCATTGTTTGCTCCCCAGAAGCATTTAGAAGTGCACAAATTAATCTTTTATATAGTTAAGGTTTTTTCTACTATGTATTGAATTGCTCAGAATAAAGCATTGGATTTGGTTTTGCTAAACAAATGGTTTCCTCTCAAATAGAGTGGATGAATAATACAAAATATATAACAACACACTATATCCCTGTAGTCTCTCTGTATAACTCTGAAATAAAAACTGATTCCACATGCTATCGTTTTCTTTCTTTGAGTCAAAAAGAATCCTTCTCTAACCTGGCACTTGACACTGGAAGACACTTTGACCTTTCCTGGTCCTCTGTCCTATTCATGATCTGTATTTATTTTTAAATTAAAGTACATTAGGTGTTATTTTATTTTCGGGTTTCTTTTTTAGTTTCCACTTTCACAATCTTCAGGAGTTTTTAAAATTTATTTATTTGAAAGGTGGAGCAACGAGCGGGGGAGAGATTCTTCTACTCAGAATTCACTTACCAAATGATAAGGGTCAGGTTAAATCCAGGAACCTGAAACTCCATCTAGATATCCCTCATGGATGACAGAGACCCCAGGGCTTGAGCCATCAGCTGTTGTCTTTTTGGGTGCACCAGCAAGAAGCTGGATCAGAAATGGAGCAGCCACGACTCAAACTGATTCTCCCATTACTGGAAGCCATTGCCACAAGCATTGGCTCAACCCTTCATGTCACAACACCAGCCTCTTTGCTGCTGCTTTTAAAAAATAAGAAGAAACAAATGTGTACCTCCGCCTTTCAGAATCTTGTGGGACTAGCCAAATGGGAGGTTACTCCACTCCAAGTGAGACACTGAATGTTCTCTTTAGCAATGAGTTCTGGAGGAGTTGACTTCCTCCCAAGGAAGCGGAGAAGTAAAAGAGAAGACTGAGAAGTAAGCACTCCCAGTGGAGGGCGTGCTGAGATGCCATTGCCCAGTAGGTGCTGGAACCTGGAGGCAAGTAAGGTATCTGCCACAGGGGAAGGGAGGAGGTGGGTATGACGGGTATGCATTGTGGTGTCTGCATTGCTATGAGAAGCAGCAAGCTACACATTCACAGAGTAACTGCTTTTATTCGCTTGTTTGTTTTTAAGGAGATTAAATTTTGAATTTAATCCCAAATTGTTCCAAAAAGGTGTATTTTCTTTTTGCTTCACAATCAGAAGCTTACAGTCCAATAGATAAGAATATATCATGACATAGCAAGCAGAGTAGAAACAAAAAAAAATTTAGAAATCTTCAGAAATATTCAGAAATATGAACAAGGAAATCTCAGGATGTTAACCTCGCAGAGGTTACATTTCTGTGCTCTGTGTCTTAGTTGCCACAGATCACTTTCTGGAACTTGCTAATTGGCACTAAGCGTAATGATTTCCAACTGGGTCTTTAGTTGTAGATCTACTCTAGTCATAACGTAGACTTGGAAAAGAGAATAAACGCAGCTTTTATAATTTAGTACTATTTATGTAGCTTCTAACATACACAGATTATAAATCAAGCACACACACACACGACAGAACCACATATTACAGACACCCACTGCGTCTTTAGGGACTTCCCATGCTCATTAGAGTGTGTGTGTGATTGCAGGGGAAACCATGACATGAAAATCAGGGTTAAAATTGGTAAGTCAGGGGCCCGGCGCGGTGGCGCAAGTGGTTAAAGGTCCTCGCCTAGCACGCCCGGGATCCCATATGGGTGCCGGTTCTAATCCCAGCAGCCCCGCTTCCCTTCCAGCTCCCTGCCTGTGGCCCGGGAAAGCAGTCGAGGACGGCCCAAAGCTTTGGGACCCTGCACCCACGTTGTGCTCACTTGGGGAGTGAATCATCGGACGGAAGATCTTCCTCTCTGTCTCTCCTCTCTGTATATCCGCCTTTCCAATGAAAAAATAATAAAAATAAATCTTTAAAAAAAAAATTGGTAAGTCAGTTAAAAAAGTCAAAAGGGGTCTTTTATAGACTGGAGTTAAAAACTGCATAAAAGGGCCCAACACGGTAGCTCAGCAGCTAAACTCCTCATCTTGCATGCGCCGGGATCCAGTTCTAATCTCAGCAGCCCCGTTTCCCTTCCAGCTCCCAGCTTGTGGCCTGGGAAGGCAGCCCAGGATGGCCAAAAGCCTTGGGACCCTGTACCCACGTGGGAGACCTGGAGGAATCTCCTGGTTTCTGGTTTCAGATTGGCTCAGCTCCAGCCTCTACAGCCACCTGGGGAGTGAATCAACAGGTGGAAGATCTTTCTGTCTCTCCTCCTGTCTGTATTTCTACATTTACAATAAAAATAAATAAATCTCAGAAAACACACACACACACACATAGCCAGTGCTATGGCTCAACAAGTTATACCTCCCCCTGCAAATGCCAGCATCTCACTTGGACACCAGATTGTGTTCTGGCTGCTTCACTTCCCATCCAGCTCCCTGCATATGGCCTGGGAATCAGCAGAGGATGGCTCAAAGCTTTGGGACCTTATATTTGTAAAGGAGACCTGGAAGAATCTCCTGGCTCCTGCCTTCAGCTTGGCTCACCTCTGGCTCTTGGGGACATTTGGGGAGTGAACCAGTGGATGGAATCGTTCTCTCTCTCTCTCTCTCTGTATCTCTTTTTCTCTGTAAATCTGCCTTTCAAATAAAAATAAATAAACAATTGTTTTTAAAAATGCATGAAACAGGGCCCGGCATGGTAACCTAGTAGCTAAGGTCCTCGCTTTGCATGTGCTGGCATTCCATACGGACACCAGTTTGTGTCCTGGTAGCCCCACTTCCCATCCAGCTCCCTGCCTGTGGCCTGGGAAAGACCCAAAACCTCGAGACCCTGCACCCAGGTGGGAGACCTGGAAGAAGCTCCTGGCTTCAGATCAGCTCAGCTCTAGGCATTGCAGCCACTTGGGGAATGAACCAGTGGACAGAAGGCCTTTGTCTCTCCTTCTCTCTGTAAATCTGCCTTTCCAATAAAAATTAAAAAAAATTTTTTTTAACCCATTTATTTTAAAAAAAAAAGCACACTTTAAAAAAAATATATGAAACAGGGCAACTGAAACTACAGCCTCTGCAGCCAGGACCTTCAGGTACAGATACTAGAAAAATAGTGTTCAAGCACTCTGGGTCCCCACGCGACTCTTCTGTTCTTCCTCTGAACCCTGACCTTGTCCCCAGTGCTGAAACCCATCCAAGAATGCTCAACCTCAAAGGCAATCCAGCAGGTTCAGCTGGCATCCTGTATTCTGCACCTGTTCCTCTTCCTGTCCAGCATCCTGCT